CCGGCAGGCTTGCATCATAATACCGTCGTATTCAAGTCTTGTCTTGAGGAAAGTTCACCAAAGAAGAAGTTCACTTTGGTGTCAAAGGACCCGGCAACTCTGCCGCACCGGGGAAGGTGGAAGTGATTTTGTAAAGGTTTCTCCGCTTAGCTGTGGGGGCTAAAGGAGAGACATTTGTTTTAGTGCAATACTTGGAGGGTGCCTCCAGGGAGTTGACGTAGGTCAAGATTTGACCGAACCACTATAAATCAAGTGTGTTCTTTCTTATTATTTGCTTCCACATTTAATTTCCGCATTTGTTTTATTGTTGTGATATTGGTTTTGATTTGTGTTTTGATTTAAAGATTCTTCTTTACCAATTCACCACTCTCTTTATTTAGCCTTGGGCCAGTTCTATAGGACTTAACATCCCTAACGAACTTTCAAGTGGTATCAGAGCACTTTCTAGTATCATCTGAGCACTTTCAATAATGATATGTGACTTTCAATATTAATGCCTAGAAAGTCAATGATGATTACTCGAGCAACAAGGTGGGCACTGTCTACACCAATATTAATATCTCACTTTCAATATTAATACTTAGAAAGTGATGAAAGGTTTAGTACTGCTAATTTCTCGAGGCAACAAGATAGACACTCTCTACACCATTGTCAACATAAGAATGGTAGGAGCCACCATCAACATGAAAATAAATTCATATTTATGGCATTAAAGACTATGTTATATCAACAAAAAAAAATCTAAATATTCTCCATGTCAAAGATATTTTTGCAAGTTTAGAGATTTTTAAATTCACCTTTCATGAAAATTTTATTTCATGCAAACAAATGAGAGATAATTTCTCCAAAGCTAGGCTAGAACTAAAAACCAAAAGGCTATAGTTGGTTCCTAGAAATGTATGGGAGTTATCCCTCACCACTAAATCTTTATGCATCACCTTCAAAGATGATAATACCATGATTATATGGATTTATTTTATCAAAAATAAATTTAATATGTTATCAACTTTTGTGAAGCAGAAAACCTTGGTGGAGAATAAAACTAGAGACATAATTAAATGCCTGTAATAAAAAATGGTGGGAAATATGACTCCATATAATTCAAAAATTACATGCATAGTTCACATGATTCATATAAAAAGCCTAAAATGATGAATTATACTCAAAATGAATGTGCAATCAGCATGAGACTGCATGCAAACTTTCCTAAGGCATTTTGGGTAGATGTAGTAAACACAAAGGCGTATAAAATCAATCAAATATCATTAGTTGCACTAAACTACGAAAGTAAACAAATTGAGTCGAGCTAAAGTAACCCTTAACTTGAACTTAAGCTTGATTAATTTATTGAATTTGAACTCAATCTCGAGCTTAATTCTATGAGTTCTAAATTGGCTTGCAAGCGAACGCATTTATTACGAAAGAGAAAAATAATTATAAGTATTTATTATGATAAAATAATAAAAATAATGAATTTTTAATCATATCTGACCTGAAGGACATAACTTGAGCTTTGGCCTTTGAATCCTCTCTCTCTCTCTCTCTCTCTCTTATTTTTTTCTCTCTTTATCTCTTCTCATACTCCTTTCTTCCTTTTCTGGTAGGGAGCTGGTATGGTGGTGAAATGGATATATATATATTCTCATTTTGACATGACGTTACAACAACCACCCTTCCAGCATCAGAGAGCTCAATATCGCAGCACCGCCTTCCTTCAGCATCACAGCTATAAAAGGACATATTTGCCTCTAGAGTTTTCTCTTCCCCACTTCACTCATTACACTTATTTAACGTCAATTATACATTCTAAAGCTTTCAATCAGTAGTTGAAGCAAGATAGATTGGAAATCATACTAAATTACTTTGACTTGGTTGATTTCAGAGCAATACGCATTACAAGTTTTCTCCGTGATGATTTGAAAAATGCATCTACATGATGAAACACAAAGGCTTTGTTGAAACTGAAAAATGGTAACCTTATACACAAGCTAAATAATTGGTATTACAGCTTGAAATAAGTATCTTGATAATGGTTCTAAAATTATGATTTTACACCAATCTATCCATAAATTTTTGACCAAATATTTCGACCAAATAATCACAAACTTCTCTAAATGTCAATGTTCTGCAACGAAAACTAATCTTTAGAAAATATCTCAGCAAAATATGATTTAGTTGATCATAAAATAATGCATTTCAGCCCGGGTACCCAACGATATCCAACGATTCACAACGGTTCCCATACGATACCCAGTGCTTCCCAGATGGTACCCAACGGTACACGCATACAAAACGGTATCATCTACAGAAAATAAAAAACAAAACCCTAAATGTGGTATTTAGGGAACAAATGGAACTTACAATGCATTCTTGTGTCCGAAACGAGCAGAGCTACCTAGATGGGGTACCGCTGGGTACCCAGAAGAGGTACTCTGAGGTACCCAGCGATACCCAATTGACATACCCAACAGTACCCAGACGACATACAAAGCAAGACGTGAGAAATACAAATAATTATAAGTTATCCTAACATTAAAAAACATATATTCGCCATGTAAAAGATAAAAACTGAAGATGAAGTGACTTCTTGTAGAAGATGAAAATTGCATGCAAGTCTTTCTTTTAGAGTGAACTGAAAACCTAAAAACCCAAATGTGCAAAAACAAGATGTTTTTGGTCATTTTTAAAAACTAAAACGACAAATAAAATTTCATTTCGGGATGGGTCATCGGGGTTGCAAGTGTGTGTTTTTTTTTTCAATTTTCGTGAATAGGGCAAATCGGGTCGTCAGGCCGTGCAGTAAAACAAAAAAGCATAATAATTAGAATGGTGGGGTAATAATAAGCTCCATTTGACGCAATGTTACAAGCTTGTGGACATAGAGCTACGTCCGGACTCCACACCCAATAAAAGTTCCTATTAAGGACAGCTTTTTCATTATTTTATTTTTCAGACAACAATCACAATTTCATTTCATCATAAACTTTTCATTATTTTTCAAAATTAATCGTGACAAAAAGTTACTTTTTACAGCATAAATAATTAAGTTGGTTTCCCATCACAAAAATGCAACTAACTTTATAAAATATTACAACCGTCCTAAACAAACTCTAAGAATGAATGAGATTCTGTTAGAGTTTAAAGAAGATTTAATGCATACAATTTTATTCACAGTACAGAAACTATTTCCACAGTTCAGATTTGTGACCCCCAAATCATAATAAAGATTATAGAAACCAGATAATCATACACAAATAATTATAAATAAAAAAAAACCAGAAAGAAGATGCTGCTGATACAAGTTCCAGCTATAGAAGGGTCCCTTTGCCCCTATGGACCTGTTGTGCTATTACTGTACAATCATAGCTTTGGTTTGTCATATATCTTCCAACACTTATAAGAAAATCTCATATATCTTCCAACACTTATTAAGACAGATTTTCTGATTTTGGTTTATAGAACCAATCAAAGAATATCATTGAAATTGTTATTATTATAGCTCACAACCAATCATTATAATAGCTGCATGATTGAGCAATCGAGAAGCAGAATAAATAATAGAAATATTAGCTGTAAGTGCAGACTCATCATCTGAAACATATGTGATACAGCAATCGTTTCGGACGGCTTTTTTATTATTTCTTAAAGCAGTTTTTTAGTATAAAATTTTAATTTTTATACTAGAAAATTGATTTAAAAAGTAGCAAAAAAAGCCATCCCAAACAAAACCTAAAAGAGAATCAAACTACAATGATAAAAGTAGCTTTGGCTGTAGTCGATCCAATGCATAAAGACATGAAAAATAACAAAAAGAATCAGCAGGAATTTATAGAAAACCCTGATATTGCTATAGGACAGATACAGAAAAGTTTAGGACAATAGAATAATTCCAAAATTAATGCTATCTAACTCTCAACTTCTCTTACTTTTAGGCATGATTGAAGGAGATTGTACAGTAATTATGAAATGAAATTAGTATACTTTCATACAGAAAAATGAGTTCTTTCATAAATCAATGCATATTATCATGAAATCATACAAAATAATGTCACAAAAAATGATAGTTTTAAGCATACTTCGCATACAACAACAACATCATCATCAAGCCTTTGTCCCACTACGTGGGGTCGGCTACATTAATCCTTTTTTCTCCATTGTGCCATGTTAAAAGTCAAATTCTTGTTTAAATCTAATAAAGAAAGATCATGTCTAATATTTTCTAACCAAGTCTTTTTAGATCTACCTCTATCTTTCTTAACATAAGTCAAATCTAATACCTCTAATTTCCTAACCGGGTCATCAGAAGGCCGCCGTTTACAGGAAAAAAATAAAAAAGCTTTTCATTCGAAGTATAAAAAATCAGTCAACCGCCACTCCCCCTCTTCTCTTCCTCTTAAGCTCTCTCCTGCTTCATTTTTTGGAAATGTTGAGCCACATAGGCAAATTGATAGAAATTAGAAGGTTTATCACCATTGTGGACCACAGGGAGATGGCATCAAGCTCTCCCTCTCCTACTTCAAAAATGATAAAAACAATTGAAAGATTTACAACGAATTCCTCCACAAAAGAGCAAGGAGAGCAATACAATGGAAACAAGAAACTAGGTGAGTGATTAAGGAACTAGAGATAAAGCATGACAGACTCGAAAATTGATAGATAGACAATCGAAGCACCTAGGAAGTAAGTTATGAAAACTAAGTGCTATAGAAAAAGAGTAAGGATTTGGCATTGGGGGGATATCAAGCATGGAGAAAAATTGGAGACTTACTGAGAAGAATTAAGGTTTCCATTTCTTCTCTAAATGAGGGAAATCAGATGATGGCAAGATAGGAATCTTAAATCTAAGGTACAAAAAATGATAAATAGTCATAAGATGACTGATTTCTCTGTCATCTTTGATTATACCATCATTAGAAAACTCAGTATTATCAATATTCTACTTATAGTCCCTAGCTGTAGAGAAAAAATGGTAGAGAAAAAATGGTAAATGAGAGAACAACTGAAGAACCTATGCACTTGCAAGAAGTTTTTATCATTTGAAATAAGCCGGGTAGTAGACCTATCTTATTAAGGTTCATTTGGGACAGATTCTTCTTCCTTTCTAAAGCAGCTTTTTAGTACAAATTTTTTTAAAACTAGAAATTTTTGTACTAAAAAGCTACTTTAGACAGCAGTGAGAAAGCTGTCCTAAATCAAATCTAAATAGAATTTAAAAATAAAGTATACAAAAAAATTGTCAAAGGATATTGCTCCTTTCACCGCCACTGCAACAACGCTAAACATCCTTCACTGAAAGGTCGGGGGATATTGCTCCTTTCAGTTATAAGATTTGCTAAGATTCAAAATAGAATACTCAAAGAAACAAGGGATGAACTAACTAAAAGTGATCATCGTCCTTCAGCATTCCTAATCTTTGTAGCAAACCATTCTTTCCAATCCTCAACCTTCTCGTCCCCGTTTACCACCTGCATAAGCCAAAATCATCAGTATTTTGGTTCAAGGTTATTAAGACATCAATGCTATCTCGATAGCAATATTAATCAAATAAAGCTCAAAATGAACACATAAGAAAAATAGCTGATGGTGATGGTGATGGCGATGGTTGCAGTGTCATTAAGAAATTATATATTTTATGTATGATGATAAATGATAATTACACATCTTTCTCTTCGTCATATATTTGATTTTTTATATCCTAATATTCATATGTTCACAGATTTGTGCGACATCTAAATGTCAACAAAATAAGGTTGAAGTGTCATTATAAGAAATTGTTATTTAAAAATTACCTCAACCCAAACAGATGATATCTTCAAATAATATAATATTATAAAACATTGGGCTAAAAGTGCCTAACATCTGCCATGGCTCTAAGTGATACTGACAAAAATGAATTCGTTTAATAATAAGTATACACTATTTATGGTTTTTCTGCATCTATAAGAAAGAACTTGTGAAGCTAAAGCCCAACTTGCCCAATGTCCAAACCAGGTCAACTGGGCCTATTTAAACTCTAACTTATTATAACCTTTGTAAACCTAATGCAAAGAAGGGTTAGGATTTATTAGTAGGGAAATATCAAATGGATCACTGAAATCAACCTCAAATATCAAGCCTTTCGTTGGAACTGCATCAAGTGCCTCCACACATATACGAGCAGCATCTTCTTTGTTGAGTCTTCCCTTCAATGCTACACCCTATAAAAACACCAAACGTATTTCCTGAGAGATGTTAAGCTTTGCAAGCCTTCAAATAATTCTTACATTGTCAGAAGACACATGGAAGGAAATATAGAAATACAAGAAACATGGAAGGAAACATAGAAATGCGAAGGAAATGCAACAATCCAACTATTGGATGCAAAAGCCTTCTATAATAGACAAATTTCCTTGTGTTATACATTTCTGACTAGTAGTTACATGTACTAAGGCAAATGGAAAATAAGAAAATACTTTTTGTGCTGCAAGTCCAGGTCTGCTGAGTTCTATAACATTCATCCTATAGTTATATCCAAGATTTCAACTGTATGGGAGATAATTGGTTTAGTATTTTTTTTCAACATTTATGTGGTATCTTAAAAATATTAGGATAGCATCTAATAAGAAACATATATAAAGTCAAAGAAAAATAATTACAATAGCCTGTATATTGATGAGTATGCCAAATAATAAGCATAAAATAATTATAATAATCCACAAATTGACAAGATGATAGTATTAATGCCATGGATTACTGAGGTGGAATGAACTAAATAAGAAAAGTGGAAAACTGATGGTTTCAACTTTCAATGAAATATTTATGGAGGTAAAAATAATAGAAATGAAATTAATGGAGATTGATTTTTCCACATTGTGAATCCTAGTTAATCCTCTTACTATCATATATATATAGTGGATCATTAGTAATATTTTAGATGTCTGAGACCGATGCAACAAGTTCTAATTTGATTTACTTGCTTTTACTCCAGCCTGATATTTAAAAAATATGTTCATAAATTATAATAGCTGCTCAAAATGTTGCAACAGTGCATGTCCCTAACAAAAGAAGAACAAAATAAGTTTAGCATATAGTGAGTGTGAAGGACATAATCATGATGCCTGTGAAAGCTAGGATTCATCACTTATAGGAGGTTTAAAATCTAAGATTCTAATATTTATGAAAATAGCCAATAGTAACATGTTGATAATTCAATCGATGATTCCTCAATAATTCTCATATTGGCTTTCCGACCATAATCCCTCATCCATGCCTGAACCTCCCCTCCAATGGCATTGATCCCTACTGGGTAGAGTTATGCCCACAAACTTCTTTCACAAAATTAACTTACACAAAACAAACTAAATCTCATGTTCATTTGAGTTTCAGTACTTATCATTTGATGACTGATGTTTCATTTATTCTGAGGCCATTATAATGCAGTTCTAGTTCAAGGTTTACAGTCGTAGTATAAAACACAAACTCACTGCAGTCAATCTTTTAATTTTAAGACATAATTGAGTAATAATAGTTAGGCAGACTCTATCAACTAGAGTCAGCTTAACGAGTTTGTATATGCTCTACAAAAATGCAATCATACTATACAGTAATCAAAGCATAAGATACATTCAAGCATTTGTACCTTATTACAAAACTTGTTGTATGACACGAACGGCCAAATCTTCACTGGATTTCGATGTCAAACATAATTGGCGTTCTTTTTATCATGCCATATGTACACAACATCATTAAGGTACTAAATTGTTTCTATGATCTTTCAAATTATATCAACACATCATAGGTCGATGTTTAAGTTATAGGTAATTAAGAAAAATCAATAAGGTTTTATTAATTATATTGAGCTTTTGATAGAAAATACTTGTAGATCTCAAGTTTTTCCTATCAATCTTCAAAAAAACAGCTAGAATTCTTCACAAAAATCCAGACAAAACCACGAAAATAGCAGATAATTTGTATTATTTGATGAAAAGGAAATATAAAAAAGCAAGATACAATTGACCCTCTATTCGAGAGAGGAGGATCTATCTCTCCCAAATCTCTAGACGCCGCTAGAGACCAAAAGAATACCTAAATCTAAGATATCTCAAATTTCAGCCAAATTCAAGATACCCTAACCCTAGGAAAACAAACTATTTAATGAATACAATTCAAAAGGAAATCTCTAAAACAACGATTAAAAAGGCAGAAGAGGCGTACGCAATAAGGTGCGACTTAAGGCGAGGCGAAGCATTTGCGCGTTGAGGCTTACGCCTCGTTGGATTCGGCGGAGCGTGCGCTTATTTCGCACGGGGCGTAGGCTTCGGTTCGTAACGCCTCAAAGCGAAACGAGGCACCGCTTCGATTTGTAAGTATATAGACCGAGCGGTGAGAGTCGTATAAGAGTCGAGTATTAGGGTAACATACCTGCTTCTGCTTCGGGTGAGAACTGAAAGGCGAACTCCGCCAACTTGGACCACCACAGCTCGGTCGAGTTCGAACATAGCTGGAGGCGATCGAAGGTAACGATTTATTTCTTCTTCTTCTCTTACTTCCCGTAATCTTCCCGTCATTTGCTTCATGTCTCGCTCTTCTTCTCAAGCTTCTTGTAATCGAATGTTCTTTTTTCACGGCTAGGTAACGATCTTTCTTCCCGTTATTTGCTTCATGTCTCGCTTCATCAGATTGTATATGCTCGGTACCGCTCAGTACATGCTCGGTAACGAGCAAGTACATGCTCGGTACTGAGCGGTACATGCTCGGTACGCTCGGTATTGAGCATATACAACAAGCTGAATTTCAAAATTACTCTTATAATATAATTTTGTTCCGGGGGCGCTGCCCCCGGAAACCCCTGCAGGGGGCAGCGCCCCCTTAGACCCCCGACAGACTGGTATATTTTTGTATTCATATTGTTTTATTATTGGTATTTG